TGTATCGCTGAACAACCTAAGAGATTATCTAAATGGTTGTTCCCTTAGTTAAATCAAACAGTGGAGATAGTAGATAACTTCAGTGTACTTTCGGGGGAAACCAAGTGGAGTCCATCAGTCAGCCAAACAACTTTTACTTATCCAACAGAAGTATGTTGGCAGCTGATGCCATGAATGGAAAATAATCCATAATTCTCAGGTACAAAAGTGTCCTAGACAGCTAGTAGACTATCCCTGAAGTTCCAATCATGAATTAAGATAGCCTCAAGCAGTCAGTCCCTTTTTCTAAGTGTCTGTTGGCTTCTCAATAGGAAAGTGGGAGACCTTTGCCCCTTAGGAATAGGGACTTACCTCCTAGCTGGGTCCCCAAACTTGTTACTAGCTTTACAGGTCCATGTGTTCACTGTGACCAAACAAACCGTGGGAGGCTATTTATTTTGGTGAAAAGTAAAAAGGTTTTATTGAAAGCTAGTTCCAAGGAGTTGGAGAGGCCCCATATTGCCACAGATCACCTTTTCACTGAGTCTAGGTATGCAAGGGCTTTTTATAGTGAGGAAGAGAGGAGGGAGGGAATACAATGAGAGAAGAGACAACCTCAACTTGCTTCATCCCATTTGACTTTTCCTCTCACTACTTTATGAAAACAAAACTGTATCCTAACCTTCTGGGGCCATCTGTCTATTTCCATTCATATGTGGAAGGGTGTCAACTACACCCTCAGCTTCGGGAAGCTGTGAGAAGAGGCTTACTCTAAAGGGGAAAAAAAATTAACTTTTAAAGTTCCGTTTTGCACTGTGAGTTATAGTACCACAATCCATCAACCAGTTAATCAGAGCAGAAGCTAATGAACATAGAGTTCAGATGCTTATAGAGGCTGACTTATCGAGCAGCTGACCGGTGAAGTTTGGATAGGAGGGGCCCAGGTGTGTATTCATTGGTCCAAATGTCTTCTGGAATGCTGGCTTCCAAGAATCTTCAAAATAATGTTAGTAGAAGTTCCAGAATTAGCAAGAGATAGAGACCACTACTCAGTATCTGAAATAAAAAGACAAAGTTAAATTTGCTGGTCATGTAGTTTCTCTGAGCATAGCAAACAGCTCTTATAGCTCTTATAGCATGGGGGAAGCACAGAGTTCAGGGATGCACAGAACTTCAGAGAGGTAAATAGATGAACATAATCCTTCACAGTTTATTGAGAGGCTGAAACAGGAAGGTTGGAAATTCAAGGCCTCTCTGACCTACATAGAGAAACCCTGTCTCAAATAATTAGATACATTCATTAGAAAATTTGGTTATGCAAGTAAGACTGTTGTTGAACATCTGGTACTCTGAGTTCATGCCTGATTGACCTACTTTCAAAAGTGAAAGGTTGAGGCTCATTGCCTAGTTTGGAAAAGTGGGATCAGTGGATCAACTGTACGATTTAAATCTTGTTCAAGTTATTGTTATATTCTATGGTTACAGAACAATCTTTTCCTCCGTGTGTGAGGTTGTTTGTTTTGAGACAGGGTCTTGCTATGTAGTCCAGACTGGCCTCCAGTGGTCCTCCTGTCTCAGCTTCCCAAGTGCCGGGGTTATAGGCATCCAGCAGCATACTCGGCAAAGTGTGTGAGTTCTTATTTTTTCATATAATCACAGTACATCTTTCAAATGTAGAAAATACAGTGTTTTTTCCACATTTCAGTACTACTTTAAAAGTATCTGTTGTTTCTAGTCCATGGCCATGCCCTGAATCTAGTTTTTGTGTCATTGAGTCTTTATTCTGAAACAGTTCTTCTGCTTTCCTTTGTCTTCATGATGGTGTCATTTGAAGAGTTATGTGCGGAGGCTTTTTTTCTTTTTTGTTTCTTTCAAACTCTTTGAGTCTTACTTTTTGGAACATTCTTTCATATGAATTTTTGATTCTTCCTCCATGTTTTAACATGATTTATGTTGTGAACTTTGTCAGAAATATACAAGTGGTGTAAGACTTAAGTCTCACTTTTACTCCTGGAGCGTGAACAGTCAAGAGGCTTCCACGATGCTGGGCTCAGAAGCTCAGCGAGGCTCCAGGAGCTTGTCGGACAGCGAGAGTCACCCAGGAAGGAACACACCAGGTAAGTTGGCAAATAGACCTTTATTAGTCTGGCCAGATGGCACTCCCCAAGCCAAGTAGCTCAGAGAGGCGGCTAGCTCAGAAACAGAGGCCATTTTATATAGGGCTAAGGGGGGGTTTACACTAAAAATTTACAGAAAGGGGACAAAGGCAAAGAATCAGTTGATCTGAGCTAGTGGTCATCAAACATATACTTGACCATCACGTACTAATGATCAGCAGATCAATTATCCATTATTCCATTTACAACTTAGATTATAATGTTCAGAACATTCAACTACAGGCAAGTAAGGAGTGGAGTGATTTGTGTTGGGTCTCTGTGTTTACTACAGTTTCCATTTAGTTTCCCAGCTACTTCAAAGCAGTTACCTAACAATTCACAATTAATCATTAGTTATCCTATAAGGGATGAGGGGAGCGACAGTCTCTAGGTCGTTTGCTGGTCAACATGGAGTCGCTCTGGTTCAGTCAGGCTCTTACAGTGGTATACATTTTTCCTCAGCGAATCTTATCAGGGAACGTTAGTGATGTTGGCTGTATATAATGGTTGGTGGTCTTCATTAAGTATCTCCACTGGAAAGTTACCATTTATCTTTCTTAACTGACAAGTATATTTCCCATCAAAGTTTCACTCACTGGTTTTAGCACTTGCTAATTATTATTACCTATAATTATTATTACGATGGTTGCAGAAATGGTAATTTCTTCACTCTGTCCTGCCTTTCTTGTTTGTATTTCTTAGTACAGTTCTTGGATTCTTTTTCAGTCATTGATTAGAATCCATTGTTTCAAATTCAGCCAGTAGGAGCCCATCAGGCTGACTCCTGAATGTTCCTATCACTTTTTTTTTTGAGACATGGTCTCACTCACTATGTTCCCAGGCTGACTTTGAACTCACTATGTAGCCCAAGGTGGCCTCGAACTTCTGACAGTCCTCCTGTTCAACCTCCCAAGTGCTAGGATTACAGGAGTGGGCCACCATGCCTGGCTTCATGATTTTTGAAGTACTTGTCTATTTTCTGGCACAAAAACATCTTCCATGCTCATTTTATACTTTCTCAGCCTCAGCTCTAAAATTGCCTATTTATTAAAGTTTTCTTATTTCTTTTAATGGAACTTTTCCCCACTAAATATATTTTTGGTTATCTCTTTATCTTATATATAAATAGCTGCATAGATAGTATTACACCATATAGATGTACTATAATCTATTTAATGTGTACGTTTTGGTTGTATTTTTCTCCTTTCTTTTCTTTCTTTCCATTTATTTATTTATTTTTTGGTACCCGGGATTGAACTCCAGTCCTTGCGCTTGCAAGGCAGGCCACCGAACTGCTGAGCTAAATCCCCGGCTCCATAGTGGAAATTTTTGTTGCTCTTGGGTCTTCAGTGTCTGTTGTGAAACGAGGAACAACATTCTAAAAATAACGAAACTAACTTCATTAATAGTTTAAAGTAGTGTCTCCAAGTGATGCCTTGGTTCAAGGAACAACATTCTAAAAATAACGAAACTAACTTCATTAATAGTTTAAAGTACTGTCTCCAAGTGATGCCTTGGTTCACGAACTCAATTCTGATTCCGGTCGCAAACCGAACTGGACAAGAACCTGATCAAATTTCCCCATAAGGTCAACATTGAACCTAACCATTGAATTTGACTTGATCCGGTTCTCATCCGATTCAGTTTGCCACCAGAATGGTGCAAAGAATTAAATTCCTGAACCAAGGCGCCACCGTAAGAAGTCTTGCCCTACTCCCACCTTTAAACACCTGGGGCCTAATAGAAGAATGCAGATCCTTAGGTGCTAGGAAATCTGAGGAATCACAAGTCTAAGGCAGAGGCCCATAAATATGCACTTTAATAATGCTTATTCCCAGCCATTGTTATGTACTCTTCAAACTTGAAAACCATTAGCTTCTCCAACGTTTTCTCTGTAAACCTTTATCCAGATACTATTGTTACCCCTATTTTACACAAAAGGAAATTGAGGCATGGAAAGGTTAATTAACTTTCTAAGGTTAAGAGGACCAAGGTCAGGAACCTAAACGTGCTTGAGGTGCAGCCCTTAAATCTTAAACCTAATACAGTCCTTTACCTCCTTTTGCAAAGTGATTTAATATTTCAACAAACACTGGACTTGGGGGTTAATAAAAACTTATCTGAAAGCTTCCTAAAATCAGCCTGGTAAAACTGTGTCACCATTTTGAATTTCAAGGCCCTTGCCTTAGGCGAAATACCCACCACCTGAGGAGACCTGTGG